AAAAACTCAACATGAGCCGGCAGTGCGCGCTCACAGCCCAGAAAGCCAAACATGTTCTGGGCTACATCAAAAGGAACGTGGCCAGCAGGTCAAAGGAGGGGATTCTCCCCCTCTACTCTGCTCTTGTGAGACCCCGCCTAGAGCACAGTGTACAGTTCTGGTGTCCCGAACATAAGAAGGACATGGAACTGTTGGAGCAAGTCCAGAGGAGGCCACGAATTTGGTAAGAAGACTGGAGCACCTCCCCTACAAAGACAGGCTGAGAAAGTTGGAGCTGTTCGGCCTGGAGAAGAGAAGGTTGAATGGAGACCTCATAGCAACCTTCCGGTGTCTGAAGGGGTCATACAGGGAGGGGGACTGTGCCTCAGGAACTGTAGCGACAGGACAAGGAGTAATTGGTACAAACCGAATGAGGGGAAATTTAGGCTGGATATTGGGAAGAAGTTTTTTAATGTGAGGGCAGTGACATACTGGAACAGGTTGCCCAAGGAGGTTGTGGACGTCCCAAACGTGGCAATGTTCAAAGCCAGGTTGGATGAGGCCTTGAGCAATCTGGTGTAGTGGGAGGTGTCCCTGACCATGGCAAGGGGGGTTGGAACTAGATATCTTTAAGGCCCATTCCAACCCCTTCACATTCTATGATTCTCTGATTCTATGCCCATCTGAGTAGTGGGAAGAAACAGAGGACACCAGGTCCTTCCCAAAGAACAGGCACAAACACTGGCACGGAAGCAGAGGTAACATCCTTCAATCCAAAGGGGTGAGAGGAAGTTAAAGACTTCCCTATGATTTGGGTTTCTACATACCCTGCCTCCATTTGCCCACTGGTCTTTAATCCTTTTGAGCCATCTTCTTCGGGACTTTGCAAGCGTGAAGAAATCTCAATTCAGCAACCACTTGGAGCCAGCCCTAAAGTTACATCAGCGAAATATTATTTATCAGAACTCCTCACATAGCAGACATAAACTATGTGCTCTCCTCCTTCTCTTGTTCTCTGAGACACTTTCCCTGTGGACTGTGGTCTAAGTGAAAAGGTGCTGCACAGGTCACTCAGACTGACCTCTTTTGAGCTTCTGTTTCTGTGCCATCCTGCCCAGACATTTTCTCTTGCAACATGGTCTGAAAAAAGAATGGCAAAGTTCTGGCCCTCATCTGTAATGCCTTGGGAGTCTGGATCTGAGCCAAGAGCACAGTGAACAAAGTGAGCAGTCAGCATGGATTTGCAGAGGGTAAATCATGTCTGCCAAGTTTGATTGCCTTGTACGAGACATTTACTGGGTCTGTGCATGAGCCTTGACAAACTCAAGGCTTTCAACACTCACACAATATCCTTGAATCCAGTTTGGGATGCTGGGGTCTGTATGGGTGGACAGCCTGATAACAGGCAGAGTACTAGAGGGGACTGTCCTAGGACCTGTCCTGTTTCTTTATCAATCGCCTGGAGGAAGTGATGGTGTGCACTCAAGTCTGCAACTGACACTGAGCTGGGGGGTTCAGTGCATACATTCAGGGGCAGAACCACTATTCAGAGTGACCTAAACAGTCTGGAGGAAGGGGCTGACAGGAACCTTCAGAATTCAACGAGGACAAATGCAAAGTCCTGCACCAGGGAAGGAAGAACCCTTTGAGATGATACAGGCTGAGGACTGACTGGCTGGATAGCAGCTCTGCTGGAAAGGACCTGGGGGTCTTGGTAGACAGCAAGCTGAACAGGGGCCAGCAGTGTGACCTGGTGCAGAGAAGGCTATATTAGCAGAAGCATAGTTAATAAATCAAGGGAAGTGATTGTCCTGCTCTACTCAGCCCTTGCTAGCCCACATCTGGAAAACCATGTCCAGTTTTGGGCTTCTTAGTACAAGAAAGGCATAGCTAAAGCAGCGTGAGGTTGATGGATGGACACCAGAATGGTCAGGAGACTGGAGAACTTGCCGCAGGAACACAGAGGGAGAAGTTGAATGAACTGGGCTTGCTCAGCCTGGAGAAGAGAATGATGTGAGGAAACCTGACAGCAGCTTCCCCAGGACCTAGCAGGAAGTGATTGGTGGGAGACTGAGAGACAGTAGACATAAGTGAAAAAAGAGAAATTCAAACTGGATATAAGGAAAATCTTTGTCTAACAAGATTACAACTTCGAAATTAAGAGTCTGCAAGTGAAAGTGTGGAAAAGGACAAGAACAGCTCTTTATTACCAAATCCGAATAAACAACAATGGTGCAACCAAAACTTTCAAAAGAAACAAAACAAAGTCCTAATTCCCCAGGGGGAAAAAAACCCGCAGCAAACTGCGGTGGGGGTGGGAGGGAGGGCTGATGGCAAAACTGTCCCTGGCAGCTCAACAGCTGCTCTCAGCCACGGGAGCGGCCGGTGGCTTCTTAGAAAGAGTCCTTCTTCCCAAAGGCGCAGTCTCAACTCAGGCAGCTCTGATAATGGAGCCCCCACGCCCCAAGAGCATCTCGCTCCGAGATGCGTTGGTCTCTCAGTCGCTCTCCACGCGGTATCCGGCAGGGAAAAGAAAAAAAAGTCCCATCAGGAGAAAGAAAAAAAAAAAAAAAAGAGACGCCGAAAAAAAAAAAACCCCAAAGCAGCTCCCGCTCTGTCCATCGGTGGAAAAATCCCCCAATCCTCCGGACAAAAGGGCTTTCGAGGCGTGGCCCTGGCCCGGTCTTTAGAGGGGCCCCGGCCCGGTCTTTAGAGGGGCCCCTGCCCGCTCCCGCGCTGCGCAGCGTGTGGCGTTCCGCTCCCTCTCCCCCTCCTGACTCCCCCCATCCCAGAACAAACAGATTGGGGAGGGGGGGCGGGCTACACTGGGGAAAAAATTCCAAGATCTCTTTTCAAACCTATGACAATCTTTTTCGCCAGGAGGACAGTCAAGCACTGGCTCGGGTTACTCAGAGTGGTTGTGCATCCTTATCCTTGGAAAGCTGAGAAAATCGCTGATGGCTATGCTTTGGACTAGCGACCTCCAGAGGTCCCTTCCCACCTGAACTACTCCGATTCTATGTATTGTACATCCTCAGATCTGAGAAGGAAGACACATACACTCTCATTGCCCCTGTCAGTATTTCTAATGAGATGTGCCATCAGCTGCTCCAAGGTTCTGATTTCAAGGTCAGAACCAGGCATGAGGCCACTCGAAGGACACTGTGGAGAAAGTCCCTAAGTGATGTGCAGACCAAAATTCAGCATCATTTAGACAACAGAGCGACAGTCTTGCTGCCAAGTTTTTGCAGGAGCACCGTGACCCAAGGGCTCATTGCTAGCACGACATCCTGAAACATGAGATAGGAAGAGAATAGGTATGCAGAAGGTAGTTCAGAAGTGACCTGGCTGAAGACAAGCCCTGCCTCAGGCAGCATGAAGCCATATGGTGGGAAGGCCAGACTAGCTCTCAGCAGAGACTGGTACAAAGCAGGAGGCACCAGCACTATGCTGGTGCTGCTGGAGGAGAGGCAGAGAAACCATGTTTAATTCTCTTATTCAAGTCCCCGAGGAACCCAGAAAATGCCACTGTTCTGGAATATGCAATGTTCTGTGTTAAGCTAGGAGGGCTTTCTTGAGTGTCTACAAATGGTTCTTTGAGTGACAAGACCCTGTAAGATTCTGCAGTTGTATCTCTGAATTCATGTAGTCACACAGGTCCCCTGTTGCAGGCCCAATATGAAACTATATATCCCATTTTTCTAGCAGAAGTGGTTATACCAACGTTTTGTGATGCCTCTGTACCTCAGCTACCTCCAGAGCAAGACTGGACTGGTAGTGCCATACCGTCTTGTCCCTTAACGGTAGCAGCTCTGAGTCCCCTGGGCACAGGGATGGCAGCCCAGAAGGGAATCTGAAGCTCCAAGTTGGACACTGCTGTAACACCAAATTTAATAATGCCAGGGACTGGCCTCAGGTGTGAGAGCTCAGTTGTCAACACTAGTTAATGGTTCAGGCCTTCCCCTGTGTGGCTGTGGCCTTTGTCAGCTCACATGTCCCCTGGTGAAGCAACAGCACAGCTAAGGAGTGAGCACAGGCGAGAACCACCACAGCCGGTGGGCACTCTGGAGACACTTTAGAAGCAGACTGTGTGGACATGGCCAGGTAGCAGCACCATCAAAATCTGGAGCTGGATGGAGCTAAATCAGCACACTTCTGGGAGGGGAGGAGAGTTGTGTCCCAAACAGGGCAGCCTTAAGTGCCCTTGGTGGATACTGTGAGAAAGAGTACAGTTCTGTGACCAGACAACTACTCTGCTTGACTCTGAAGCATACAGGTGGTCCCAGGCCATCACTTTATGGTCCAGTCCTCAGCAGAGGCACCGGCAACAGGGAGAAGCTGTGAGGCTGTGCCTCAAATTCAAAGGAGAGGCTGAAAGCTGTGGTGGGCCTGGGCTGTGGTGGAGTGCATTGGAATGGCCACAGCAGTTGATAGTGGAGATGAATTGGGGCAGGCCAAGAGATTGAAGGGCTGTCAGAAGGAGTATGGGCTAACTTTCAAAGCAGTGGGTGCCTCTCAAAACACAGTATGAACACTTCTGCTGTAAAATGCCCAGAGACTAAAACGTTGAATGAAATTTGGGCTGCACCACTTGGTGTGCTGTCCTGTCCAAGAGTTCAACCAAGACCTCCATGTGCCAGCTTTCCACCTGCCAAAGCAGGGAAATAATCCCAAAAGCAGAGAAGTGCAGATTAGAGGGGACTTGCTCCACCCTCCGCAGACCCAGCAGAGGGTTCTGACAGTATGATTCCTGACAGATGTTTGTTTGACCAGTATTTAAAGACTTCCAGAGACAGTGATGGCCCATCCAACCCAACAACCTTAATTACTAAGAAAATTTTCCTTAGTGTGTCACTTCATTCTCTCCTCTCTAAATTCCCATTTCTTATCACCAAGGAGTGAAACTCCTGGCTGTTTTCTGAGGTTCCAGTCATTCCACACTGGCACTAACCATATTCTCCTGTTTCAGCTTGCGCATGCAAAAAAATGAAATAAAAATATAAGATCAAGGTACTTTGCAATAATTTTCATGCTATTTATTTTGTAGTATTTCTGCACTGGCTATTCTATTCATGATAAAATGTGTAAAAATTGCTTCCAATAAATTGTCTTCTTTCTTCAGTTCACAAAAAACATAGCTTCAAATGCAACAGTTGTGAAATATTCATATAACTGTCATGCCTCTCTGCCCTGCTGCTCATTATAGCCAGGCTGTGTCACACAACTTCTGAAAAAGTTACAGGTCTTATCAGCTTCACGTGGATATGATACAGGCTATAGAAAATGTAGATATCAGATCCTGCTCTCCAGAAACTTTCTCAGCCTACATAAATGATTAATAATATACAGCAGAAATACTGACATCCTGCAAACACAATTTCCTCCCACCAGGTTACAAAGCATGGTAGAATTGGATAATGTGTCACCTCCTCACACAAGCCCAGCTCCCTGGTTTGCACACCTTCCCTCGTTACAAAGCTTATTTCATGTGTTGTTGATCTTATATACACACGCGATCACTGCAGAGACCACAGACAAGTTCTGTTATGGAATGCAGAATTCCAGACAGAAGGTATCAAATTGGCGAGAAGTCCCCAGTTACATGCACAGAACAAGGTTGCAGCAGAGCTGGCAATTACCACTCTGTTCCTTAGGAATAAAAGCATGGAAAGTTTCAGGTAGGCTATGAGATTGCACAAGGGTCAGTAACACAAGAGGGGAGTCTCAAGATGAACGCTTTTTGAAAAGTATTAGTTTTTGGAAACCCTGTTTAAATTCTTCATTAAAAGCTGTATAAATGACTGGATTGATCAATGAATTTAGGTAACCCAGCCAGGTAAAAAAGTCCAGTAGGATGGGATGAAACCAACAGGCATCTTGGCAAATGGGTAGGACTAGGGACATGACAAAAAAAGGCAGCCAGCAGAAAATGAAAGCTCCCAAAATAATGCCTAAAGTTTTGGTGGCTTTCCTTTCTCTTGCAGCAGAAATTCTTTTCCTTTCCAAGACACTATCTGCAACTTTTATTTTAACATGATTGATAAATATTGGGGATCCACCTGAAAGGGAATGCCCTTCATGGAGGCTAGCATTAATGGAGCAGAGAGAAGACCCCGCAGAGCCGGTGATCAGCTGTGCAGTAGTAAAACGTTTCCCACATAATGAGGGTGGCTTCAGAATTCTGGATCGAGCTGCTACATAAATTCTACCATATAATATCAGGAGGAGCACAGTTGGGATGTAGAAAGCTCCACAAGTGGAATAGATTGTGTAGGTAATTTGATCTGTGTTCACAGTACACTTTGCAATTTCTTCATGAGCTTTCACTTGCCTCCAGAAAAATGGTGGCACAGAAATACTAATAGATATCATCCAGACCACTGCAATCATGAGGGCTGCTCGGCCAGCAGTCCGGCGTTTGGTGTATTCCAAAGCATCTGTGATAGCCCAGTATCTGTCCAGGGCAATAACACAGAGGTGCAGGATGGAGGCTGTGCAGCATGTGATGTCTGATGACAACCAGATATCACACAGCACTTGGCCAAAGGCCCATGTATGGGTGACAGTGTAAGCAATACTGATGGGCATTACAAGGACAGACACTAAAAGATCAGTCACTGCCAAGGAGCCAATGAGGTAATTTGCAGGTGTGTGGAGCTTTCTAGTCAGAAAAATTGTAATAATAACAAAAACATTTGCAAGGATTGTTGCCAAAGTTATAACAGACAGAAGGATTGACAGTGAAATCTTCAGCCCTAAGAGTGTCCTTTCATCCCAAGCCAGTGGTGTTTCAGTGAAATTTAATGACTTATTTGCTGAGCTCTGGAGAGAGAACTCTGCTGAATGGTTATACTGAGTCATCCTCTGCTCTGGTTTCACCTTCCAGTGTAATCTTTCTAGGACAATGAAGAAAGATGCTCACTTTTTTTGATGAAATAGAACTTTTCATACTTCAGTCCAACATGGAAGAAATATTAACTTGTTGAAAACTTCAGCTGACACAGTAGATGAGGTACTCTCCAAAACAGGATCTTCCATCACATCACATCAATGACATCATTGTTAAAGCAAAATGTTAACATAATCATCCAGATATCAATCTGGTGTACAACAATGCAAGCAGTACTACTAAGTGACGAGAACTTAGGTGGGTTTCATTTTCATCTTGAAGATGACTGAATCATTCTTTGTCTTTTTTTCTGAACTAACACATCTGCAAAGCTGCATAAATCAATACTGAAGGGTGAGAGACAGAAAAGAAACATCTGGGCATGTAGTTAATGCCCCTTTGCTTGGGCTAAAGCTGCCCTCAACAGTATTTCCCCTTTCTCTCTAATAGCTGATTGTCATGTTTTTGGTATTTACAAGGGACACTTTATTAGTAGAGTACCTAAGATATAAAACAATACCATCTGGATTCCTTCTGTAAACACAATTTCTGCCAGAACTGTGAATCAAGACTTCTTTTTGAAAAGTACAGATCTTTGGTTTCATTTATTTCTCCAGACCATTCAGGTTTTCTCTCAACATTTAGTCTTTGAATGCTGAAGTCAGATGTTAGGTACCAGAACTCAATGTGTTGGCACACATTATAGCACAGTATGCAATCTCCAGGCTTTCCATACTTTTCCTTGGATTCACTTAGTGTAACATGAAGTCTTCACAAACCTGAAGAAAACATCCTAAGATAGATTTCCCTCAGGCCTTTCACTCACTTCCACCCATGAGTACCAGAATGTTACTTACATTATGCCAGCCCAACCCTTCTTGAAAGACATCCTGAATGTGGGTCACGAACGGCTTTGCAGTGTGCAAGGAGGGCTGCAAAGAGAGACACTGAACTTCTTCAAGGAAATAATCATCAGACCAGCCCTCTCCCAGTCATCGAGGAGAAATGCCTCTCTCAGTCATCACTGGTACAGATTCATGCATCCAACAGAGAATGGACAGTCACTTGATTGGGAATCTGTGGAGCAAGAGCAGCATATATTCTACATGAAACATTAGCACTTTGATGTCAAACAACCTCTCTTAAGCTCCTAAATCCTAACATAAGAAACACTTTTCGGTTTGGTGTGTTTGATTTTTTTTTACAAACAACCACCTTCTGTGAGTTAAATTGATTTTTAGAGATGCTTTTTCTTTTGAGGTGTACTTTTCCAGTTAGGGGACATGAGTCTCGTATTTCATAATAGACTATTACTTTCTTGATTTTTTTTTCTCCAGGAAGGGGAAGATCCCTTCCTAATAACCATTTTTGTGACGCTGAACAAAAGTGCGATTTACAAGAATTTTTGAACGTCAAAATGCTTATAGTGACCGAAGTCCATCAAATCCTGACAATGACCCACACATTCAGCTCAACCTTGTTGCCTTTTTCTGACACTTTGCCAACACTGATATGTTGTTTTGGAGACAGAGACCAGAACCACAAACACTTGTTGAAGATGTGGATACACCACAGATTGATACTGCAGCATAATGGTGTTTTCTGTTCTCAGTTTCTTTCCTCATGATTCCTGAAATTTACTTTGCTTTTTGAATCATTGCGTAGCACTGATCTGACATTTCCACAGAGCAGTCCCAATTAATATAATTCCAAATACCCTGAGTGGTATATCAGCTATTTTTCCCTGGCAGTTCACTTTTTACATCTATGAGCACTATATTCCTTCTCCCACTTTTTAACTAAGGTTCTTTGCAACTCTGCACAGTCAGTCCTTGTTTTTATTACTCTGAAGACCTTTGTTTCATCATCATATGTCATCACCCCACTATTCATGTACTTTCCAGATCACTCAAAGTCTCTTGAGAGTCTAATTGTATGGGTTGGACTTCACTCACTCTATATACTCATCTGCTTTTCTTAATTACTTCAACAGATTGGTGAGACATAACTTTCCTTTACTAAAGCCTGAACTTTGACTGTTCTCCAAAACACCATATTTACTATGTGTACAGTAATACTATTGTTTATTGTATTTTCTGCCAACTGGCTATATGTACAGGTGTTGGGTTATGGCTCAGCAGTTGTCCAGATCTCTTTGGGAAGTGACACCACAAAGGTTGTCTTGCAGTTAGCAGGTGCAAAGGGAGTTGAAGTAGAGGCTGACCCTCCCACTGATACCACTGCACTTTGGATCTTGAGTTGCACAGAACTCTCTAGCTGAGCACTGTCTCACAGTGAAGTTATGTTGTTGTTCCCTTTGGCCAGAAATAGAGTCCACTTGTAAATATCCCCCAGTTTCTCTTTAGTGAACAGGGATGCTGAAGTTAATCTAGTTTTTCTGTGAGAAATTTCCTTTATCTTCTCTGGATTTATTTTTTTTCCATAGCTTTACCATCCCTTTAACTCTTTGACACAGTAATGGCTCACTTCAGAGCTCTCACTTATAGAGTCTAAGAAACCTCTTACCTGAACACTGGGCTGACTGCACATCCCACGCAGAAGAAAAGCTAAACCAAAACCACCAGACAGACTGATTAGCAGTATTAAAGACAATGACTGTATTTCTTAAAAACTAAAGTCAAAGGGGGACCCCTGGTGGTCTAGCTGCGGCCCGGGTTCGATTCCCGGTCAGGGAAACTTCCCCGGGCAGATGGAGCTCATCAGCCCTGTAAGGCCATCCATCTAAGAGAAGGTCACTCTAAACAAACCTACGTCCTGAGGACCTCACTGCCACTGTCCAAGCTTGCTCGGCCCCGGCAGATGAACCTTAGGATTAAAGGGTGGGCTCAGCTCAGCGCACACTGTGTCTCACCTAAAAAATCCACTGCGCAGGCTCGAAGGGTAAAGACCTTTCCCAAATCTTCGTTCGCGAAGACTGGCCATGCATAAAGCCAAAGCCAATCTTGATTTCAGTTATTGAGAAAAGTGATATCGAGCCTTTCACATATAATGTGATTATCAGTCTTAGAATAATTCCAGCAACATGAACTAAAGTGAAGTGCACCTCACCCACCCAACTGTACATGAACGAGCTTATTAGTAGTCCTACTGCTTCCAACAGCTCTCAGTCACCACGGGAAAAAATAAGTTGATGTGAAACGTGGCATTTTCAGTGAAATGAACTAGTCTAGAGTTCAAAGGAATTATTAATCTTCAACATGCCAGTTAACAGGACACTCCTACACTGGGAGAAAGTCTTACTGAAACCAAATAATGCGTTAACATATATTGAGTTACTGAATTAATTAAGTGATGTCTCAGAACAAATTTTTTACAAAAATGCTCCAAGTCAGGTATTTATCCTGTACTCAGAAAAAGTTACCATCTAGACAAAATGAACATACTCCCAGTAATTTAGCATTTCAATTAAGTTACCTTTTACTCAACAAAAAAAAATGCTGAACAGAGGTAAATTATTTTCCCATAAAAAAAGAAAAAGAAAAACATTTGCATAAACTACAGACACTGAAAAAAAACCACTAGATGTTGAGCAGTCATTAAATTAAATCAAGTATAAGGCCGTGCACATAACTGCCTATTAATAAAAGCAGAACGCAAATGCACAGGCACACACATCCTGAAACCCCAGAGCCCAGGAGTAGTGACTGGACGTGCTGCCTGGGCAGAGCGCATGTTGTCTCTGGAGCATGAGGAACACTGGGCAGAACCTGGTTGTTGAGGAAAGCATTCAGTGCCAGTAGCTCAGGGTGCAGCTGCAGCGGAGCTGCAGGTTGAGCTCTGTGGAACAGCAACCTGAGTCCGAGGCAAGAAGCCATGAACTGTCGACTCTTTGGACAACAAAGGGCCCCGGGAGCTGTGTCCCAGCCAGGGGACACGACACTCAGAGACACAGCAGGAGCCAACAACCCCCAGACCTTCCTGTGCTTGGACTGTGAGGGGATAAAAGCCCAGGGGTTCCTTTGTTCTGGGTCCCTCCTCAGAGGCACCAGCTCAAGCTGTTATTTTGGTATTGCACCACGATCAAATTACTTTTAGGAGTCTGAGACTCAGCAATGGGAAACGTGGGGCGGAGCTGGTGAGAAAACCAGGTCTGACTGTATGAGTGTGGGGGGAGCAGCTGCAAAGGGGCTTCTGTCCCAGCTCAAGTGGTGCGAGAGTGAGTGCCAGAGAGGCTCCTGGAAGGTCAGACAGGGAAGTTTCCTTAATACTGGTGATGTTATCACCCCTAGATAAGATAGCATTATTGCCTCCAGTGGGTGCAACTCGAAGCCTGGGTCAGTGCTCCTGCTGCCTGCAGGCAGTTGTGTGCACAGTGTGGATCAGCCCGCACCAGCCCTTCTGGCCCTGCCAGGCAGGTCATAGCAGGTTTGTCACCCACACTTCACAGGATGGGAATCCTCTCAGATGCCTTGGCTGCATCAGCACTGTCCTTGGTTCATCTTTTCTTGGGCTTCACCTGGTGCTCTTGGCCATGGACTGTGGGTATTTTTTTCACTTCAAAGTTTCTGAAATAAATTGATGTCACAACCAACCAGAGTGAGGTTTTCACAGCACAGCATGTGTGATGTACAATGCCTGGTTGGAGCAAACAGCATTGTCTTAGATGCTTGCAGGTGAGGCAAGATGCTTGCAAGAGCAGCCAGGAACAGCATAGAGCAAAGGAGGGTACACCTGCCCTTGGTTTATCCATGCTAGTGTCCCCAGTAGTTTATCCACACTACTGTCCCTGTGGATTGTGCACACTACTGCACTGAGTAGCATGCAGGTGTGGCAGCTGGGGGAGGATAGGGCAAGTACAGAGCCGTGCAGTGAGAATGATGAGAAACCAAGGCACAGAGTGACCCTGGGGTGAAGAAACGTGATGATAAAACCACAGCAAGCAGCCCAGTCACCAGAGCCTCTTCTGTAACCAGCAGGGACAGAACACCACGTCCTGACTGCAAGACCACAGAAACCAGGACTGCCCTCTGCAGCTGCCTCCCTCCTGCATCCCAAATTTGATCTGGGCTGACTGTGGCTCTCATTTATATAACTCCAACAGTACTGAAGGTTGCATGGGAAGGGATCTTTTGATCCCTGTGTCCACACAGGAGGTAAGGAGATGCGTAATAATGTCTTGGTAACCTGGAAAGATTCTTTTTCATTAATCAGAAAGAAGGAAAGAGCATTTAAATGGAGAGACAATTTCAGACACTGCAGTGCTATGTAACTTAGCAGAAAGCTCAGCTCAAGGACTGGAAGGTGAAGCAAGATCATGTGCAATGTGAAAAGAAAACACACTTTAGCTATTGGTGATAGCATTGGGACTGCTTCACTGTTCAGGGTCCTCACTTAAAACTAGGTACTTCTTAAGAAAAGGTGCTTTGCGTCCCAGCTCTGCAGTTAAACTCACAGAGCAAGGGCAAGGTGGCAGGGTAGGGTCCCTAGGAGGAAAAACTGAGTTCCAGGTGTGCCAAGGCAGGAACACCGGCAGGCAGGAGGAGGCTGGGTGGCACCAGGAGCTCCTTAGGACCAAGTGCCATCGTATAGGATCCAGGCATGGAGCTGCAGAGACCGCTCAGATTGCCAGAGATGCTCAATCCCAAGGGTAAACAAAGTCCTGACACATTTCTGTCCTTTCTGGAGTACAGCCATTAGTGGAGAGTGGGGTAACTCCCACAGACTGCAATTTCATGGTGCAGCTGATACACTTTCTGAGGATGCTGAGCTGCAAGGAAAAGGCTTTGGTGCACTCTGAACTGGGCTGGAGGGGGGTAAATAGTGTGTACAAAATAGGTATGTCAAAATCAAAATACAGAAATTTACTCTTTGACTAAATAGAACAGTAAAAAAATGGAGAACAAGATAAAATGTTCCTTAATATGTTGCACATTTCCTTTAAGTTCACACCAAAGTTAGAGGAATTAGGAGATTCATTCTCTTTCCTTGAAGCGGGGGAACTGCAAAGGGATGGCTGAGAACAGAGTTAAAGTTCAGCAAACTACTGAAAATCCATTTTGTAACTGATTCTCACTTTTTACACGTAGAATCCCCTTTCTTACCTAAATAGACCAGGT